AGTACTTTGTTGCTTTTGTTTTACATGATAGTTTTACTTACAAGACTGACCTTTTTTCCTTTGAAGGTGGAAATTTATTCTGTTTGATCACTTCTATTTTATTTTCTTCAGTTAAAGTTTTCAGCTGAAGTTCTGCTTTACACATTTTAATACATTTCTCCAATGTTAACTAATCTTCCATTAATAATCTATTTTTGAGATTTTTATTTAGAATTCCACTTACTATTCTATCTGTTATTAAACTATCTTTTAATTCTGCAAATCCACAGTTGCTACTTAATTTCTTTAAATCTGTTAAAAAATCTGAAAATGATTCACCTACATGTTGTGTTGGACAAAAAAATATATGTATCAACACTTTCGTTTGCTTTCCAATTTTCGCTTAAATTACCTTCGAAATTTAGATTTCTTGGTGGCTTTAATCCATTTATATTTAATTTAGGACTTTAAATAGTTTATATATACGTATTCTTAGCCACATCAAATAAAAAAAGATTTCACTGTAAGCACTTTCCATCGTGTTTTTGTTTTGTTTAGAATATCTTTACAGTTATTCATATATTCATAAGTGACGCTGCATGGTTCTTCAAAAAAGATTTTCTTTTTTAATCTATTGAACACTACGCCATGTATTGTTTTTATATGTTTGATATGTGCTCAGTGATGATTACAAGATGTACATAAACATAGTTTATTCTACATTGCTAATCTACTATTCTATATTACAGTTATGATTAATGATGATAATAGATACAGTTACAGTTACATATATAACTAGCAATCATATCATTCAGGAGCATACTCAAGATTTATCATTACAATAGGACATATATAGGAATGGAAATTAACTAATTCAAAGGGATGTTATAAATTTACAAACCAGGCTTTTCAACATATGGAAAACAATGCAGACTGGCTATCAAACATCCTGTAGACCGATGAGCTGTAGTTTTCCCTTAATGGAACTGTACATGCGCAGAACTCCCACATGGCTAAGAGAGAACACACACTATTGCTGAAACTCCTTTGCATCACCTAAACATGCCAGCTTGGTACAGATTCACTGAAATTCATTATACGCCTCTTTCCATTTGAGGAAATTTCCAGAAGTACATTTCGCACTGCTTCTTTCACAGTCAAATGTTACGCAGTATTTTTAAAAGGCAGCATTATTACGCCCTTATAAAAGTGAAGAGACCTTGTGGAGAACTCTTAATTAGCTGCTAGATCCAAAAGATGGCAGTATCAACTTTCTCCTTCTCATCCAGTAGGAAAGATAATTAGTGACTGATCCTTGACAGTACATCTCTAGCAGCCAGTGGTGAAGCATCGAATTTAACTCGCTCATTATCAGATTGTACTGGCTGATTTTCCTGCTAACTAGCATGCTTGTTATTAAAGTGAATTCCTGCCTGCAATTATTTTTTGATTCTGTAGAACAACTTACATATGATGCTCATTTCTGTTGTCTTTGTATATATGCTAAAGTAATAATTTTCTAATCTAATTCAAGTAATGAATGTAACAATTATATATCCTTTTTATCACTGCATTAATACATCTCTACAGAAAGGTAACTTTACAATCTGTACTTTAAAAAAAAAACCACAATGATGGAGACCTGATTTCTTTAACCATGTGACAGTTGAAAATCTACTTGCATCTTCAATTTCTGTACCTACAATGTGTTATGAACTGTGAATATCATCTCCTAAACAGAATTAACATTTGAATCCAGCACTATTTTTGTGAAGCTGACGAAGCCGTGCTCCAAATCATTAAGTGTGCTTCATCAAAACATGTCTACAGATAATACGAAAAACATGTGCTTCATGCAACAAAGGAAAAATTTTTCATTATCTTCAAGGTGAATATACTGTACATCTGTATATAAAATCGATGACATGCACTATATTCCGAAATTGTTTTGATAATTTTTCCAAAGAGCAATTTTTTTTTTTTTTTCTAATGCTGAATCTGCTCCTGACTGAGCCCATATTTCTTATATGTAATCTGGAGGTAAGATGCACCAATTTTTAGTTATTATTGTTCTAAACTAAAGCTTTTCTCTAAAATACTGCATGCAGAATTTTGCTCTTTTTACTTCCTTGTACAAAGTACAGGAAATATTGTAATGTCGAAAAGTTTTGGCTATTATATTTCAACAAAAATATAGATTCTGACCACTTTGAATCCATTTGAACAATGTTTTTGCATGATATCTGTACATACAGACAGAATAAAGGACTTTTTTCCCCTAAAAAATAGATTTAAATGGTATTCAGAAGAGACTTTTTTGTGACATCTGCATACATGTATGCATGGAGATGATACCTTTTTTAATAATAAAATGCTATATATCTATATATTGTTATGGATTTTGTATTTAATTTGTTCTTTTCAGTAGAATTATAGTTGTTTTATTTTCCCATGCAATGCAGCACGTGACGAGTTTTAAGAGAAAGCTATGCTAAAAAAGTAAAATTATAGGAGCATGCACATTTAACATTTAATAAACAGATATCTCATAATTCTACTCTTTTTCTTTCCAGAAACCTCAAGAAATTATGAAAAACTTCTCATGACTGATCAAAAAGCCAGAGAAAAACATCTCAGTTCAGTTGTTTACATAACTGCTGTTGTTGACAGTAGTGAATTCACGTTGAGATCGGATTAGTTTTCTCTGCACTTGAATTGTGTTGTATTTAACATTTTAGTAGTTTAAAATATAACTACGGTGTGATATTGTACGAATATCTGTGAGGAAAAATTTCAGCATTTTGTTTTATTTCTTGTAATAAGAATAAATTTTATTAATTTCTCATCAGACTTGTGCATTCAATCTATTACAAACTCGTATGCACGCAACAATATATATATATATATATATATATATTCTTACCCAGCTTGGTAAGTTCAGTTTTTCAATTCTTATATGTTCATAAACCGTGCATTTTTTGCTTTAAAAGTGACTGAATTATATTGTTCTTATGTTCCAGTTAAGGTTTCTAAGCCTTTAGTTAATCTATATGCAATAGCTATAGAATTATCAACAATTTAAAAGTTGAAGTGGCACTAAGCTGAATGAGGCCACCATTTGCTTACATTTGAAACTCTTAGTAGAATAGTGAATTAAGTCGGTTGGTGCATCAACTTCAATGTCTTTTTGCCCATTGTAATCAAGAGTTAACTCTCAATTTTTTGTGCTTAAAATTTTGTCTTCCTGCCTGCTGTCTGAATTGCTTGTTTTTGCACAGAAACTCTTACTTTAACTACAAAAAAAAATTTTAACTGTTTTTAACTGTGCTTGGTGTTTTAGGTAACTCTGTATTTTACAAATTTTAATGGGTGTTTTAGATTCTTCTGTATTTTACAATTCTAATGAAGTTTGTGTTTTTATGTATTTTTACCTAACCACAAAGTGAGAACTGAATTAATTGAATTAGAAACATATTTCTGATGGAATTCAAGGAAATAAGTTTAAATGAAATTCATCAAAAAATATGTATAATTTAATAAGCCACACAAAGAAGTCATGTGGTGGCCACATCAGATATTTTAATATTGCAGATACCTAAAAAAAAGTAGTTTTCTTCATATTTGGTACCCTGTTAATTATATATATACATTTAAATACCTTATTGCTGCAATTTTTTTTAATTTTATTTTTTTATCATGAATCTGCCAGCACAACCTACAGAACATTCAACCACATGCTATCTACATTTGGAAAAGAATTCCAGAAATTCATTCCAGGAATTTTCACAAGAGAAATTCATCATTCCAGAAATTGATCAGCTGGAGCTTGCATTCTTCAAAACTCTGAATCCTACGATTCCTGTGATCAGTGATCTGCTTCTTCAGATCCTCCCATTTCTCCAAATTCTCCTCCTCTGCTTGACCTTCCACTCCCTTTCTGTGCTCCATCACTCGTCACATGCTTGAGAAGATGTATGTGCATCAGCACCTACATTTGTGCCTTTTTTTTTTTTTTTTTTTCTTTTGCTTGTTTGTTTCATACATTAGGCAATGGGGGGGGGATATTGTGGAGAACTCTCAAGTAGTAGGCAGATCAAAAAGATGACATTACCAGCTTTCTCCCTTTTGTTAAGGGAAAGAATTTGTTACTGGGCCTCGATAGTTTATCTCTGGCAGCCATTAGTGACGAATCAACTTGACCTTGCTCATTTCACATAGCACCAGCTGATTTTCCTGCTACCTAGCATGCTTGTTATTAATGAGGATTCCCACCTGCGATTATACTTTGATTTTGTTGAGTGACTTACACTTGATGTTTACTTTATCATCTTTGTATATATGCTAAACTGATGTATTTTCTAATCTAATTAAAGAAATGGATGTAAAAATTGGTACACCCTCTTTATTCTTGTATTAACACATGTCTCTATGGAATGGTGACACTACAATCTCTACTAAAATAAACCATGATTAAGTTCTATGATGCAAAAATCATGTAGGACTGAAGAGGAGGGCCACCTTACTTTACTGCATCAAAACTGATTCTATGTAATGAATGTCAGTCTAAGGCTAATTTTATGTTTGACATTTAGCTGAAGGACTGAAGAGGAGGAACCTTTTACTGCATCAAAACTGATTCTATATAATGAATGTCAGTCTAAGGCTAATGCTATGTTTGACATTAAGTTAACATCTCTTCTGTACATAAAAAGTTGTATTTTCTTCAGTGAATTTGGCAAGGTAGTGTCTTAATCATTATTTTATTTCATGATTTAACTTAGAGTGTAATAGAAGAATAAAAAATTGTTCAATAAGAAATACAATATAGAAAAAACATATGCTTCATTAAATACACCAATGAAAGCACATCCTGAAATGTCTCATTTCTCTTTACATCATAGCTCTATTAAACAGACGGGTATTTGAGTTTAAGTGTCACTGAATGCCTCAAAATATGTGGTCAAACAATACATTATCATATAAATTACTAAAAACAAAAATTTTTATAATAAATAACTCACCGTTTTTAGGATCTGTATAGAATTCATGACATTCTTTTAGAATGCGCTCATTTAAAGACAATGTAGCAGAATCGGCTGTATTTGTAGCCGGTCTTTGCTTTTTTACCCTTCCAGACATTATCTTCGAAACATATTGCTGAAATAAAACATTTGTTTCAATAAAATACTTTTTCACAGATAGCTCAATTTAAATAAACTATTAGGCATGTTACCAACCCAATGATCTCATCATCAGTCACTAGTCAGAATTTCCTAACTCTTTTTCACATTCTGGTTGCATTTGCCCATAATTTTGTTCTTCAGGGGAAAAAATGTCAAACATTTTTTTTAAAATTAGGATAAAAGTTAGCAATAATAACTACAGCATAACAGTTTTTGATTTTATTTAAAACTCAGATACATTTTTTTACAACAGGTAGGAAATATCTATTCAGATATATCCTTGTTCAAAGAATTTGAGGTAAATACGAGTTAATGTTATGTGATGGAAATTTGCAATATTTTAATTTTGTTTATTAGGGAGATCTAACAGAATCTCTCAAGATCAAATGCATGATATGATATCACGGATAGTGAAGTTTTTATTTTAGTGTGGACAGAGATAAAGCATCTTTTCAATGATTTGATGCCATGTCACATTACATGCAAAAAAGCTGCATTTCTTTGATCAAAAAGAGATCCCAGATATGTACCATCATTTATCAGATCTTTCAGCTTCTGATCCTATGATTTTCACTTATGAATATGGTCTTGTAAGGTTAGTGTTTTTAGAAAGTTTAAACCATTTATGGTGATCTTATAGAAAGTCTATGATCCATAGAAAAAAAGGCATTATCCTGGTGCTTCCAAGAATTCCAGAAGTACTCCATTAAGAGTATGCATTCTGAAAGATGTTATATCAAAGGTAACTAGTAATAATTATTTATATTTCAAGTAGAATTACCCTAAAAACTGCTGATATACTAGACAAATATTTCAAGTTGAGGACGAAATTATAACACATGATGCAAACAAATTTAGACCCTTTCAAATATGCACAACTTTTTATTTAAATGCAAGGAAAATATTTTATAGTTTCTAAGACTTACAAAAACTGTGGGGGGATTGATATTTAAGTATTTTTTAAAGTTTACAATAAATGTTGGATTTATCTTTCACCTTCAGCCAAATATCAACTCTCCACATTATATGACATTTTGTTTAACACATCTTCTTCACATCAGCTGATTTCAGTACTTTTTTTAGTTGTTTTAGAAACCACAGATTGTTTGCAAAGACTGTTTTAAGGTATCCTCAAAGTTGGATGATGTATGATCTGGTGATCTAGAGGACCAAAGACCCTTGGAAATTACGTGGTTTTCAAAGGGACGGTAAGAGCCATTTATATTTGTTAGAGGAATGACAGGTTGATTCACCTTGTTAGAAGCTGTGGACCTATTCCACTAATGTCATAAAGATGTATCCATTAACTTCAAAATTTTAATTTTATTATAAAAAATTGACACACTGATCTTTGTTGCAGACATTTTGAATCAAAAATCTAATTAGTTTTTTAATGAAATGACTTCTCATGAATGACAACAGTTTTTTAACCCAAATCTCTTCTTCTAAGTATTCGCAATCCTAGAAAGATGACACTAGATGCCATCCCTAAATACATGATTCTGAATATTCCTGACTTTGATCTGAGAGGATACCGGAAATTCTGACAGTATTGATCGAGTTTCTGCTCAGTCAGATTCACATGTTGGTGCACTGTAAGAATTTTTGCACTGTTTCTTTAACAGCTCATTGACATGTGCCATTAGAATATCCCATCTCTTGGCATACACGCTTTAATGATTTAGCTGAAGAAATAATTAAGTGCTAATGAACACCTTACAAACAGTTTGAGACACAGCAGGCTTATGTTCAACAGTGTCAAGAAGAGTATCAGTAGTCAGAAATTTCTGTTCTAGTTCCAGAAGATTTAAAAAAAAAAAAAAAAATTAATTCCTGTATAATTTAGCTACTTTCCTTTTGCATTCTATTTATAAGGATAGACTTGAGATAAATGAGAATGAGATAAATTCAAAATGATACTGTTCTGTTACCGGGACTGGATTCATAAATGTATGAATATATGCGCATACGCATGTATGTATGTGCATATATGTATATATACAACTATATAGACACACATACATTCCTGCTTACGTGAATAACATGCATATATACATACATTTCTGGATTTGGTCCAGATAACAGAACAGTACCTTCAAAACTTTTATTTTTATTAGAAGCAAACGAATAGGATGAAAGAATTTTAATTGGTAAAAATATATTTATGGGTAGTTATTATTAAAAAGCTTCATGATATCATCCCACCGTATGAGAAAATACTCATAAGCAAAAGAAAAACAGCTTATCAATTCAAAATTGTACTGTAACAGTCCTATGTAATGATATACATATATGATTTACTACTTAATGAATAAACACTAGTTTTTATACAAGAAATCTCTTTTTGAAAAGATTTTAAAATTCCCCGTGACTTCATTCAAGATACGTGTTTGTATGTCTTGAAACTGGATACGAAACCAACCTTTTAAAAAGTACATTCAAGCAGTTTTATGCTACGTATTAGCACACTTATTAAATTTATCTAATAGACATATTAAATATACATTACCCCAAATTAATTACAATTTACAGGAAATCAGTCTGTTAAAAAACTGCCCGTTTAAATCGGAACCTGTTGCCATTAACAGTTTATTAAATAGCTGATGATAATACAAAAATTAATTCAATCGAAATTAAAATTAAGTGCGTAGTTAACACTGTAAGTTAAAGTAAAAAGAACACTTTATATTTATATAGATTACATTAAATTATATCTGATAAATAACACTATGATAATATTCGTGCCATCTTCAAATAATAATATTTTGAATATATACTGAATTTTAAAAGAAATATCAATTCATATAACATTATTTTATAAAACACTATTTTCAGAAACGTTTATAAATACTATTATAATATTATTATATCTATTATCTTGCTTCATGCTGACTTTTATACTATATTATGATTTAAACGTTTGGCAATAGCACTTTTCTGTCGCATAGCAACAAATAGAAAGAAATGGGAAAAATGTAATCAATACTTTTCTGTTTAAGCATTTCTTGGGACTGGGAAAATTCTTAATTGAGTTGAAAATAATTAGTAGTTATGATTTGAAGATCTATTTTTCGGTTATTAATTAAAATGAAATTTATTACAAGAACTTGTGACTTAAAAGTAATTAAACAAAGTCTTCTTTTCTGATGCACTGACAGATGTTTCATGAGTCACAAGAACAAAAAAGAATCAGGCAAGTGAAAAATGTCACTCTTGATAAATTCATTCTCTGATCAACAACCCCTTGCAAATTACATTAAAATGCGGTCATTCTTGGTGATAATGCCCTAGTGTTATGCGTAAGCGAGGAAATGTTCCGCATGACTACCAAACTGTGTTTGTTTTTAATGTCGTCCAAAAATAGCTCTGATTTTTGCTTTGAATCTTGTTAGAAGTGATCATGGAATTTTTTGTATCATTGAATTCTTATACTAAATACTTTTAAAGGCAGATTTGATAGTTTGTATTTTTTAAATTTTATATTTGTACAATTTATTTGTTATTTTATTTGTTTGTGAAAGGAAACAAAGAACTTACTACGTTTTACTATTGTTTTCATTTATTATTTATATTGAATATTCTTATATATTAATTTTAACGATATTTCTATGTATTTATTTAATATATATATTTACAATTTTATTTAACCCTCATAAGTGAAGTATTTGAGACATTTTTTAATCAAAGAAATTTTATATTTTCATTAAATAAAGATGCAAATTATATGTTAGTTAGAAATTTTGTGCTATTTATTGATATTAAAAATTCTTTTCCATGAAGAAATTTATTTATGTATAAAATAATGTTAATAATAAATAATTACATTCTATAGCATCCCTCCCTCCCCATTTGGTATAATATTAAATTTTGCATACTAATTACAATTTTTCTACAATAATTCAGTAACTTATTATAAAGAAAAGCGTGTAATCTAGGAATATTCTTAAATTAAAATGCAAAAATAAATAAAAGCATTAATAACATTTTTCAAGCTCCTCTTTTAAAATATTTGCAAGTTATGTAAACTATATAAATAGGCATGAACCATAATTTAATGATTAACAAGCAACTATAACAAGAAAGTATCATACTGTAAAATAGATAATAATTTAAGTCATCTAAAGGGAAAAAAGTACTCAAAATTGAGAAGAGGGGGAAGATGAATTTTCAGAGATTTCCTTTCCAAATTTGAAGTTATAATTTATTTGCTCCGTCCTATAACTATGTTTTAAAGTATTTTTAAAATTCTACCATACATTTTACAGATATTCTAGAGACGCTGACATGACTGAAATCAGCAAAGAATTACCTTTAGTAAAAAAAGTGAAGACACATGAACAGTTGGAGCATGGTGCATCTGGTGAAATACTACCAGCTCGAATGTTTGATTCTGATGATGTTGATATTCTAAAAGAACAACTCAGAGTAGCTCATGACAATATTCAGTTTTTAAAAAATGAACATGCATTTATGTTAAAAGGACTGCATGATGAAATTGAACAACTCCATAATTTATGCAGAGGTTTGTATAAACTTTTAATACTGAATAATTAGAGCATTACTTGATATTTATTTAGCCTTATAAAGAAGTATTTGAATCATAAATAAGGACAGATAAATAGATAAAATCAGGGTACTTGTTTTCTGTAGCAGCCTTGGTAAAAGAAAATAGTGTTGGTGTATTTCCAGCTAAAGAAAATGCGATTTGTTGCCAAATATTAAAATGAAACTGACTGAGGTAAATGGAAATGCATTCAATATCTGTACAACATAAGTTATTTAATATATATAGAGAGAGGAAATTTAATATAAATGTTAAATACAATTAAATAAATTGTAAATACTGTAATAAATTGTAAAATCGTAATTATTATTTTATTTAATACAGTTTTGTTTAGCAATTTATTTATATTTATGTAATGTAGCCAAAAATATATTTTGGTATTTACGAATCATCCCATCAACTCTGTTGGCTTTTATTAAACCATGAAAGTTGGTGGAGATCCTGCCGAAGTTGTGCCATGCAGAATTCTCTAGGGACTGTAGCCCCTTTATTGATAAACAATTGGCATTCAACTCATGCTAGGATCTCATAATTCCAAAAATAATCAAATAATCTCTTGCTTGCTGTTCTGTAGAAGGCAGGTTCCAATTTTTTTTTTTTTTTTAAATTTATTATGATTTAAATGCAAGAAAAATATAGTACTAACAGTTAATGAAAATATATAGTAATAATAGATGCATTAAACAGATGAACGTGGATATACATTAACATCTGTTACTGTATATCCATGTTAACATCTGTTCATATATAACCTTGTTTATAAAAATTAAACAAGGCTTATCTATCCAGAATCAATCTGGGTAACAACAAATGAAAGTGCAAAAGAAATGAAGTTGAGCTTATCCATAATTTGTGCTAAATTGCACTGCTTGGTGATAGTTTCATGATGGATGGGATAGTACTTAAGTACATCCAGTCAGAAAAAAAGGAGGGAACAGTTCTATATCTCATGTTCTACTGGGCTAATTGATGAAATTCTGTTTGTGTTCTTGATGTCTCAAAAGCGCAACTTAGGATATATATTAGATTTACATATAGCATTGATTTGTATCATAACAAATCAGATTATTTCTGAAATGATACGCCTGTTGTTTTCCATATTTCAATCCTATTACAGTCAAAAGTCTTTAATCCGGACTCGTCAGGACTTCGGCGATTCCGTATTATCGGTTTTTCCGGATTATAGATCATCAATTTAAATCTGGTAAGATGGTATTCAGAAATTATGAAATTAAAAATATGAAATCGTAATTTATGAAATAAAGAGCAATTATGATCTAAAGGGTATCAAAATTTACAAAAAAAAAACCCTTAATATTTATTTGTTTACTTTATTAAACATTTCTTTCAACACGCGCATGCGTAAAGCATACATTATGTATAGTCGAAATTAGAAAATTGCAACCAGAAAACTATTTGATGTGTATTCGTGATATTTATAATGACGAGGAATTTGATTTAAATCATGTCAAAGACGGAGTATATCGAGATGAAATACTACATTTAGTAAGGAATTATAAGCCGAATAAAATAAAAACATCAGCCCTGAAATTAAGGATGGTGCTGACAGATCAACTTCCAGTTCATTGCGCGGTGCTACGTCCCCCCCCCTCGGCAGAGCAGCGTGAAATTGATAAACAGATTTCGGAATGGTTAGAAAAACAAAGGATATGCCTTTATCCATTTTTGTAGCAATTCCACTTTTTGTTTGTTGGACATCAAAACATGCTTTCGCTTTGTAGATCCTTTGGCAGCTCCAGAATCGGAAATTATTTTTGACATATTCGAAGATTATTCTAATTATTACCTAATAATTAGATTATTAGGTAATTTTAGCTTAGCTTATACCGTCCGTTATACATTAAACATGCATGCGTAAATGTATTAAGCGCATGCAATGCATTTATGCATGCGCAGAAAGTTTGTAGCTTTTCCGGATTATGGACGTCCGGTTAAAGACTTTTGACTGTATCAGATTATGCCTAAAACCCAAATTTTATAAATTCTGGTGTGAAATTTAAGTAATAACTCAGAAATTTACCTTTGACAACCTTTTTTACTCTGTTCCAAGAATAATCATTCAGCAAACTTCTCAGTTTACGACAACTTGTTTTACTTTCCTTTTCATTCTGCATGAGTAGAAAAAAAAGTGAATATTTTTTCTTTCTCGCATATATTTTTTATTCATTTTATATTTTTAGATATTCTTTTTTTTTTCTTTTTCGAATTTTATTGTAATTATTTGAGTTGCATGATTGAATTATAGTTCCTCAAATAATTATTTTAAACATTTCTGTTTATTCTTTTGCATTGTGTACTTTAAGCATATTTATTCAAATATATTTTTTAAATTTGATTTTATTTATTTGAATCAATTTTTTTTGAATGAATATTTTGCCACCCAATATTGAACATGTTACCTTTGAAAACTGCATTCTGTATTAAAAGAGAATATACTGCAAAGCAAATTCAATACGTTTTTCACAGACCATTCAGAAAAGATATATTAAGAGAAAGTTCTACGTTTAGTTAGTTATTAGTTAGCATACAAATAATTCTCTATGGTTTTATCATTGTGCCATTGCTTGACACAATTTTATCATTCTACATTTAGTTTGTTAAAATATTATCCATATTTCCAAATAAGATCAAATTTTTTATTTTTTAAATTTCAGAAATCAAATAACATAACATAAAAAAAAACTGAATTTTAGGCAAATAAATAAATAAATATAAATAAGTATTTTTTTTTTTTTTCCATAATGGCTTACATTTTTTCTTAATGATTTATTCTGTTGAGAAAATCTTAATGTGTTAATGATTTTCTTGAGGCATTCTGCAAATATATCTGTAATCATCCTCCCTTTCATTCACTGTATACTAAACTCACTTTTGAAACAGCTTGTTTTCTTTGGCATTCTAATGAGTAAAGGTTGTTGTCTTCTGTTTCATCAGTAATTGATCAGAGTAAAATAATGAAGCAATTTTGTCCATGATACTGAATGTCTTTAGAGACTATGCATTTTGAAGGCATGAGATGAAAAAAAAAAAAAAAAAAAAAAGACTAATTACATCAATATTTAAGACATCTGTAGCTGATATCCATACACTTTTTAGAAAAACTGAAGAATCTTCAACAAATTTGGCTGAGACATCTTTGAATTCTCCATACACAGGGTTTGTCCGAGAAGTAGTAGGACTGATGTTTCCCCGGCAAAACATTGTGAAGAAGGGGAGATGTTACTGTGCTGATGGGTTGTGGGGGATCTTAGTTACCAATGCACCAGTCACCAATCGTCTCCAAGCCTTCATGAAGTGTAGATTGAGTTTAAGGTTAACCTTTCAAGGTGTCTTGTTATCTCCACAATAAATGGCTTGTTAGAACAGTGTTATGCACTCACATTTTGAGCCAAACTGGGTAAAACTGTGAGTGAAACCCATGGGATGATCAACACTGCTTATCGGAATGAGGCCATGGGCACAAATTATTTTGGAAGGGAAGATAAGTAATTGTCAGAACACCTTTCAATGGCAAAAAGTGAGGAAATCTTAGCAAAAGTGTGAAATCTTTTGAGCTCTGAATGCCTCAGCCTCAGAAAATGAGTCACCCGTATCTGTCCAGCAATCGCTGGATCGTGGAGGCTTCATCAAGACAATGGGCCAGTCACACAATTGCTGTCATAGATTTCCTGACCAAACATGGCATCACACAGCTTCCCCAGCCACCCTACAATCCAAATGTAGCTCATTCAGACTTCTTCCTATTCCTTGACTGAAAAGAGTCATGAAAAGACAGCACTATGGCTCGGTCTAGGCCATTCAAGATGCCGTAAGGAGGAAGCTGAAGTGCACTCCAGGGTGACTTCAGTGACTGGCAGAGTCACTGAAAATGCTGTGTTGAAGAAGAATGGTGCATTCACTTTGCTTACATAACTTTTCCAACATTGTTTGTTTGAGCTCTTGATATCAACTGAAAGTTTTTGATGTACTGCAGTTATGAATAGAGGAACATAAAATATTGAAAACGTACCATATTACCAAAATAGTTGAGTAAAAAATTACATGTTTCTTCTTAAAAATGCTGAAACTCAACAAAATCCATGCAGAGATGCACAATACTGGGAACATACATTGTAAAATGAAATTCTTTTTCTTTTCAGTATTAATATAGTAAAACTTTGAATGTCTGGGAAATATATGTCTTAAAAATTAGTTGCATTGTTATGTAATTACCATTCAATGCTTACTGAATTCTACTCTTCTTAGCTAAAAAATTTGAGGTATACTGAAAAATTTAGTTTTCATTAATAATTAAAATATACAAATTAATCCCCTATATATAATCTTTTACAACCTCCGTAACATGAGGTTTCATTAACATTACAGTAAAAAGGTCCAAGATCCAGACCTCAAAAACTTCTAAAAAGCTTTTTTTTTTTTTTTTTTTTTTATATGCTTTACGCCATGCGCATTTGATTTTTTCCCCCACTGTAATAAAACATGTAGAGTGTCCCGATTTTTAATTTCACTTCAGCACTAAATAAATACCTCATTATTGAAGAAATAATAATGTAGCATAAATTTGTGTGATCAGTAATTTGGCTCTGTAGCTGCATATTTGCTTGGCATACATCTCAAGATGAAACATTCTACATATAAAACATCGTTGATTTTACACCTACTAATATTTTATATCCGTGACACCAACCTGGCAAATCCATTATTTATTATACACTGACTACCAATAAGTATTTGGACACCTATGCAAATGACGATATCTGCAGTCCTAAGGTACGTCACGGTCTCCGCCGATATATGTCGTGTAGGAAACAGCATTGGCTTTAGTCGCATGCAAGATGCCTCGCAGTTCGGAGCTTTCTGATTTTGAGAAAGGTATAATTATCGGGTATCACAAATGTGGCCAATCTTTAAGGGACATATCTAGCGATCTGAAGTACCTAAAATCGACAGTGGCCTATGTGATTAAGAAGTGAAAGGTGAGCGGTGATTGTCGGAATGTGCCCCGAGTCGGCAGATCAATGAAACTGGGAGATAGAGACCGACGAGTGCTGTCCAGAGAAATTCGGAAGAACCGCACCCAACCGATGGCCCTCATCCGCGAGGAGCTTCAACAGGCATCCGAGAGTATTGTTTCAATGAATACCATCCGTAAGGAAGCACATCTGCTTGGTTTTCATGGTCGTGCTGCTGCCCATAAGCCTTTGATCACAAAGTCCAACCTCGCTGCTCAGTTAATGTGGTGCAAAGCACATCAAAATTGGACCGTAGAGATCAGTGGAAACGGGTTCTTTGGAGTGACGAATCAAGGTTCACCCTTTACCGTTCGGATGGCAGAGTCTGGGTCTGGCGTCTACCTGGAGAACGTCTCCTGCCAGAATGCATTGTGCCAACTATCAAGTTTGGTGGAGGTGGAATTATGGTCTGGGGGTGTTTCTCCTGGTATGGGATGGGACCCTTGGTCTCCATTCATGGTAAGCTCAACTCTGATGCCTACTGCATTATTTTGGATAACAATGTGCTTCCTACGTTGTGGCAGTTTTACGGGTTGGATCCCTGTTACTTTCAGGACGACAATGCCAGTTGTCATGTTTCGACGTTAACCAAGGCTTGGTATGGGACCAATGGAGTTCATCAAATGGACTGGCCTGCCCAGAGTCCAGACCAGAACCCTATCGAGAACCTCTGGGATGAGTTGCATCGCCGAATTCAGGGGTGCACTACCCGTGCAAAATTGGTGAATGAACTTCTATGTCTTCTCCAAACCGAGTGGAAGAAACCATTAGCTGTCATACAAAGACTTGTGGAAAGTATGCCCCGGAGGGTCCACGCTGTAATTACCTCTCGTGGAGGCTCTATCAACTGTTGATTTTGAATAAAGTTAGTTTTTCTTTTCTACCACAGGTGTCCAAATACTTATTGGTAGTCAGTGTATTTTGCTTTCATCACTGCAGTTTATTAACACATACAACAGATGACTTTTTCTGAAACTAGTTTTCAGATGTCTGGCAACATATTGCATTTTCAAAAGTAAAATAAATCTTTCTTGACATGGATCTTGTTGGGGATTTGTTTCTTTTCATAAGTGAGAAAGGTTATTCCTGCATTCTGTTGAACATGAAATTCACGTAGGAGGTAAATTTGTGGATTTGTGGAAAAAATACCATTTGTAAATTCAAGGAAGCACATTTTGCTGAATGTTTACTTTAAAGTTGAGTCATGTGGAATTTCTGTTAATTCCATCCGTAAATGGGCTGATACTTTCTCAACACCATTTTAGAAAATATTTTCATAAAGAAATCATCTCAAAAGGCCTTTTTAGCATCTGAGACTGCATATATGTCTTTGTATGGGATAGAATTCCAAATTTTATTAATATATTATAATTCATAATTTTTTTTATTATCTAAGGGTGAACTGAGAGTTGTAATGTGACATGCCTCTATCTAGGTAACAGCCAAATGGATATACAGGATGTGGCAGTGAATTGGGCGATTTTTAAAATGTCATCAAGAGTGAATCATTAGCTTCAAAAAACACAAGAACACACAGTATTCATGCTGAGTGATCACATTAACTGTTTCTGTTTGTATAAAATGCCTTTACAGCATGTCCACTGTTCCATTGTTACTAAAAATGTTTTAATTTTTTTTCAAGTTAATGGTAAATCATTCCCGCCAAACCAAAACAAGTGCTATTGCCAAAACCACTCAATTCACTGCTGCACCCTGTATAACATTTTCAAATAATAATGAAAATTTTTAATTTCTGCTTGGTTTTTCAGATCTACAGTTTCGTTGTGAAGCAGAAGGCTGTATTTTACCTGATAGTGGTAAGTACTTAAATTGATAGTTCAAATGATATTTATGTCATAAAATGATAATTCTGATTTAAATATTTTTAAGTAGTAGTGTCTAATGAGCTGTAGTGATATTCATTTTTCAGTACTTGCATATTATTTCATTGACTATGAAAATTGATAGAAATTTTGCCAAAGCTGCAACAGTGGTTTCCTGAGGAATTCTGGGTCACCCTTCTATCTACAACTCTTAGAATAAAACATTTCTCTCTCTCTCTCTTTCTGCACAGTCCACCAAATAGCCATTGATATGGAAGTATTTGAATAGCTTCATTCTTGCTTTTTCTAAATACAGTTATAACAGCTTGTTTATCTCCTTATTGATAAAAATAAAAGGTGGCTAACTGAGAATCGACTGGAGTTACATCTAACAAAAGTGCAGATACTATGATTGTATTGGGATGTCATACTTAACCATAATTGGCATTCGATTGTGTTTCTTGGCAATAGTTTCATAATTGATGTGGTAATGTGTAAGTACTCATTTTCAACTGTAATTTACTCCTGTTTGTTAAAACATTTTATGTTACATCATTACTTTAAAAACAGATATCTTTCTTTCACAACATTTTAAAATTAATATCTGTACTAGTTAATCTAAAGCATCTACTATAATCTGATAACCTTTTATGTATTTTAAGGCATTCAAAAATGCAAATTACAAGATTCTTAAGTTTTATATATATATATATATATGTGTGTGTATGTGTGTGGGAGGTGCTTTTAATAATTACTATTATTTTCATAAAAAATCAGAAATTTAAAAATTTCAAACTATTAGATGTAAACTTATGTAGACGGTTGGGAAAATTTTATCAGTGCCACAAAATTTTTTTAATTCATTCGTATTATATGGTTAGTTTAATGGTTAGCAAAGGTACTTTACACTAATGGGTCTTGTTTCAAATATCCTAAGGAAAGCATAAACATTTATGTTAAGTGTCTAATGTGTGCAATATCAATCCACCTCCTGTATTGTATCATCTTGAGTAATGTTCTTGATATCAAGAAAATAAAGTGTCCATAGGGTTCAAACATTAATGCTTACTTGGGAAAAACTAGTTCATTGGGGGGGGGGAAATATTGAATGCTTGTGTCATTTCTTAAAATACAGATGCTTTTCATTCACTAGACTCATTAATTCTATCTTTAAATACATTCTATTTATAAAAAGCCTTATTATATCATTAAAACATTTTTTCTTCTCGTAAGTGTTTAGAAGTTTATAACTGAGAGAGAATTAATGAAAATAAAGTTCCCATATTTAATAAAAATGCCTTGCATTCAATATCAATAATATTCAGTATTCAGTAATATGCATGCAGTGTATAATTCATGTATTGTATTGACTTTAATACCAAACAATTTTTCCCTTTAAATATCATTCTCATTTCTGCAAATCATTTTGTATGTGCTACCTAGGATTTCAAAAATGTGTAAACTAAATTATCTCTTTTTCATTAACTTTCAAATTAAAATAAAATATATTGATTTTTCCTGAACATTCAGTTACCATTCTTAAGCATTTTTAACATGTCAAGCTCATAATGCAAAGCTCTGTCTTGAATGCAGTCCACTAGTGGCTGAGTGGTAAAGTCACTGAACAGTGGTAGTTTTATCCGGGATTCAGATCCTAGCAAACACGCTGGCTGCTGGCTTTTCATAGTTTTCTCCACGTGTAACGTGTATATGAACCAGTTTTCCGTAGAAAGTTCTCCATAAAGGCATTCCTTCCCTTTTACCAATAGCCCTTGAATGCTTTCGCATAATCAGATAAACCAAACCAACTATCTTGAATGCAAGTTCCATTTATGTCTTTAAAAAACAACTTTTAAAATGGATATTACCTTATTAGCCCCCCAAAAAAAAGGCAATTGGTCCCCAAACATGATTTTGCTTTGACTCACTTTAAATGTCGTCCACTGTAAATACTTTGTTTCACTTGTCACTCAAATCTGTTGCCATTTGACAAAATGTAACGGAGCATCTTTAACATACCAAGCCCATGCAAAGCTCTGTCTTTAATGCAACCCACCTATTGCACAAGGAGAGAAAGCAATTTTTTAATTATAATTCTACTAAAATTAGCTATCTAAATACAAAATTCCTAATAATATTTACATTTTTCCCAGTTGCAATAAACTTTAGAATATTATTTTGTATTCTATAGAAAACACGAAGATGACTTAAAAGGAAAATAATTTATGCAATATGAATAGTAAGCAAATAAAGAAATTTACTATAAAAATTAGTGTAATTAAATATAAAATTTATTGCAGGCTTCTGTTTTGTTAGAAAAAAATATAATTTATCAATGCACTGTTAACATTTTCAGCAGAAACTGTAATGAGTATTCTGCTTGAAAATTGGAATGTGTGGTTGAAAGAATAGAGATGGATATTTTACACACCTTTTACAGGAATGGACATGAAATTAAGTCACTCACAAGGAAGGAAAATTTCAAAAATATAAATTAAAAGATGAATTATTAGTGTGAGCAATTAGCTTAAGAATTGAAAGTTATGACTTATATCCCATCAGTAAAATATTTTTGTAAACTTTTTACTTCCTTCTGTTCCACATATTTGCTATACTCACTTACTGTGAATAAAGTTCTGCAGTCAACTTTTTCTCTTAGACCAATAGCGATCTTGTGATTTATCATAATTCAATCAATTAATCTTGATTTTTCGAAATAAATCTTTGTTTAGACCAAACATCAGAGAGCAGAAGTTAAGCCTATCAAACCTAGGCATTAACAGTCTATTAGAAGCAGCAATTCAATTTAAGGGAGATTAAGTTCGTCAGTTTTTTTAAAGAAATCTGAATGCTTTTACAAAAGAAAGTGAAATGTTAAGTGTCGTTTTTTATACAGTATGTGAAGGAATGTGTGATTTCTTATATCTTTCTTGTGAAATTACTCTAAATTTGTGTGCTTTATCACAAAGTTAATTTTTAATTGAAGAAGTCAAAATTTTTAACGTAATTTATTGACAATTAAAACTTTCCAAGATGGAAATCCATTATCAAAGAAAGTAATAATTTGTTTTTTAAATGAACTGAAGAACATTGTATATTTCTACAGCTATAATTAAAGGAACTGCTATGGAACTTGCCATCCGTTAGATCTCAATTCTTTTGTTGGTGACACTGATTACATCGAATGTCATTTCTTTCGAACTTGGCTCCTTTTTCACATTTATGTTGTTGTTATAATTTTTATATTCAGCATACTAGTATGTTCCTTACATGGGTAAAGAGTTAGCTATGTTTCAGATTTAATCAATAAACTTGGCTATTTAAAAGCGATGTGTTGCCATTGCCTGAAATAAAATACTTTCATTTCCATGCACCACTGTGTTGCCTGTCGGCAAAGTGTAATGTATGTAATTTTCAAATTTAATCTGTGTGTTATTGATTAAAAGACTAACCGACTTAAAAGCAATAAACGCAGTTCTCAACATTTTTATTTAGCATTTTAATCTGATTGATTGAAGTAAAAATTAATTCAAGATATATCTAATTAAAAACCTTAAATAATTTTATTAAATTACATTAGCTACATTCATTAAAATCATTATATATTCATTTCTTTTTTATAATAAGTATTTTAGGCGGCTACCAGTGCAAGTAATGATTTACCAGTGCAAGTAATAGCTACTAGTGCAAGTAATGATTTAGGCGGCTACCAGTGCATGTAATAAATGTATTAAAAAATTTAGTGTTGAGAAATAAACGTAAATCTTTAGCGTGGATTGCTGGAATATAAACATTGAACAGAATTATGAATTACAAAAGTTCAAGAATATGATTTTGTACTTATATGGAAGAAAAATATTTTAATGTATAAAATGGTTTCTTTAAATGTGTTGTATTATCACCCCGCCCCCAAACTAAGCCTAATGGGAATTTCCTTTTCTTTTCAGATTTTTTTAAGTGCAGTGTAAAATCTCTTGAACAAAAAGTAAATAATATGCTGAAGGAAAACTCTGAGTTGAAACGGAAGCTTGCCGAAAGTCATCAAGCTATTGATATACTCGACCAAAAAGAAAAACTTGCATTGTGGCAATACCATCAAGAACTAGAACAAAGAGACAATGCTATATTACGTCTGGAAAAAGAACTTGAATCCAAATGCAATATAATATCACAGTTAAGCTCTCAAGGTGCTAGGCGGAAAAAAGGCAATTTCTGGCGACGTTTCAGTTTTAACTCATCTAACAATCCGTCAACATCCAGCTCAGTGCCTCATACCAAAGTACAGCAACCATGTGTAGAACACTTAAGCAAAGAAGACCTTCCATCAGAGATACAAAATTCTCTGCCATCGTTTGAGTCTCAGTACCAAAGTTATTCATCATATTCATCTCTTTCTGACAAGAGTATTTCTGATGACGAAGGTTTCGGACAGCGTTGTGGAGAGAATGTAGAAGACCAAAAACTAACTGTGAAACTACCTCCTATATCAAACTTGCCAATCGTATCAACGCGCCAGTTAGTGAGACATCAGATTAGAATCCACAGTTTAGCTAATAATATGACATCTGATACTTTAGCCATAGATCAAATGCCATCACCAGAAGTGTCTGTCAAAAGACTAAATAAAGCCTAATTAATTTATACGAAGCTATATATATATAAATGATTTATAGCTATTTTCTCATGTGTAGACGCATTTTTATATTTATTTATTTCTGAAATATTTTTGTGATTGACAAAATAAAATACAAAATCGCCATTTGTGTGTGTTCTATTTTTTTATTTATTATAACAACCGTCCAACCGGAATAATAATTAGTAACGCTGACTGCCGCGCTTAAGGGGCTGGGCTCGAATTCCAGAGAAGGCATGGAAGTTTGTAAATGTATAGTGTCTATGCGGCATTGGAGCATTAAATATGCAGCGAGCCGAAAGTTCTCTCGAGAGGTTGCTGGTAGGGTAAAAGGGTGGGACACCCTCAAACCCGCCCCCCCCGAGGTGCTTTTCATCAAAATTGGGGGGCGGAACTAAGCTAAATCGCACTGTCACCTGTCAGGTGCTCAAGGCTGTTGCTAATGTCAGGCGTAATCTTGCGCTCCTTGCCACGAGGAACTTCGTGGGCTTTTTCTAATGTTACTGTCAGACAAGTGAGATAAGTCATAACAAATTTTCACAAATCTACTATTTTTGACAAAATTTTGCGACTAAAATTTGTTGTGTGTGCGATTTTGTGAAACGTTTGCTGCTATGTCATTTCTTTATGCTACTTTTTGCGACTTTAAAAATTTTAATAGATCGTAAAACGCTTATGTGTAAAAATAATGTATCTGCTGTTCTAAGTTTATAATAATAAATAAAAGATATTTAGGCTTAAAAAATATGTTGACACCTAGTAATTCTAAAATCAAAGAGCAGGTGCAAACAGTTATCAACGTCAGTGGCTGCAGGTTTTATGTGCTTAATTGATTTATTTGTTTAATTTTCAAGCAATGCAACGATAAGTAAGTTATTTTCAAGAGTCACATCGACCAAAACCAATGGGTAATCAAGAGTTGTTTGCCTTTTGTGTAAAGGGCAATTTAAAAATTCGTGTTTGAACTTATGGAGCTAAATGTATATTGTATTGATAGATAGGAGAATTCTGTAAAGCAATAGAGATGAAAGGAAAATTCAAAAATGTATATAACTCAAACGGGGAAAGAAGTGAAATTCATTTTCCTAGTTATAATGTTGTTCAGAACTAAGTAATCGAGGTGACTTAAAAGTCAATTTGCTAAATAGCAACACAAATAAATTTAACAGTGAAAGAACGGGGATTTTATTAGTAATCATATTTAGTTAAAGGTCAACCAAGCAGAAAGGAAAATTCCTGAAAAGCATTAATAGTTAAAATAAAGCAAAAAATAATGAATTAGGAAAATGAACTGCTAACTCAAATATCTCCAAGGTTTTTTATTACAATGATTTACTGGAAGATCAGCTAAGAGATCAATATTGCCAATTTTCATCTTCTTGAGCAGTGGTTCTTAACCGGGGGGCGGGAATGTATTTTTGGAGGTGCGGGAAAAGCCTCTATTAACGATAAAAATTATTAAATTTCTTATAATAAAATATTTGAAATCTGCAATAGTGTCCCCAATATTGAAGCTCATAAAAATTGGTAGCACCTAGCTCACTTATCGGCAAGACACAGGAAAGAGCCGATGCCGATGGGCGTATACACTACGCTACGAAAAGGCATGAAACGCTAGACACGAACGCGAACAGGCAGCTAGGTGACGGAGAAAAGAAAAAAACTTTGTGGGAATACAAGCGGAGAACTTTAATCCCAGCTTGCGCATGCGCTGAGTTCAATATGTTCTACTCCAATGGAATCTACGGATTCACAGATTTGTATCTGCATCTACTGCGCTTGTTTTAGGTTGAGTCAACTATTGTGTCTGCGACATGTGTATTGTGTATTCTGACTTGTCCAGAAACCTCTTGAGACTAACACATTCCTAATTGCCAGTTCAAGCCGAATAGGATTCAGTGATATTACAAACGTAAGAACATTATATATATTATATTACATTATTTCTAAATAATTAAATCGATTACAGTGAACCCCACTATGTCAAAAAACGACAATGGAACGATAAGTATGACGGTTATGGATTTATCTGCACAACCGAAAAAGATGGCACGCAACGATCGCAATGCATCTTGTGTTCCAAGATATTTTCAAACAGCAATCTCAAACCATCAAAGTTATTAGAGCATTTCAACAATCTGCATGGTGGCGAAAAAGAGCACAACATGAACAGCTTTGAAGTCAAACAAGGCTCGGTTTGATACCAGTGGAACTATCCTAAAATTGTGCGGACCAGCAATTCATAAACCTTTATTAGAAGCGTCATATCAAGTGGCATATTTATGTGCAAAAAAACAAAAAAAAACCTCACACGATCGCTGAAAAGTTGATTAAACCTTCTGCTTTAATTATTGCTAAAACAGTTTTAGATTCGGAAGCACATAAAAAAATCCAACAGATCCCATTATCGAAAGATATTATACGATCGCGAATATAAGATCTCAGTGAAGATATTTTAATGCAAATAATTGAAGACATAAAAATCAGTCCACTAAAAATAAGCATGCAAATGGATGAGTCAACTGATGTTGATAATTGCAGCCAACTTTTGGTATTTGTCAGGTATGTATTTTTAGTTTTTTTTTTTTTTTTTTTTTTTGGTATTTGTCAGGTATGTGAAGGAAAAAGAGGTGATGGAAGAATTTCTATTTTGTGAGCACTGGAGGTGAATACGAGAGAAATTGATGTTTTCAATCGCATCAAAGATTTTTTTACTAAATATCAATTACCAATGAATGTGATTGGCTCAATATGCACTGATGAAGCCCCAGCAATGTTAGGTAAAAATTCAGGATTTTTTTCACACATGAAAAGAGAATTACAGGAAGTTATAATAACGCATTGCATGTTGCATCGTCATGCACTTGCGTCGAAAGCATTTTTCGTGCATTTTGCGAAGAAATCGGTGCTGATCATATCGTGTTCCTATATCACACTGAAATACGATGGTTATCTAAGGGTCGCATGCTTAACAGAGTTTTTGAATTGCGTGAGGACATTATCCATTTACTGATTAGTCAAAACTGTTATTTAGTAAAAGATTTTGAGAGTAATAATGCAATGCTGAGGCTGGCCTACTTAGCAGACATATTTAGCCATTTAAATGAATTGAATCTATCAATGCAAGGATTTGGTATAAATATAATAATATCTAGTGAAATTATCTTCATTTATCGCAAAATTAGAAATTTGTATACGTCGAGTAGAAAAGGGGAATTTTGCAAACTTTCCTTTGCTTGATTCTGTTATTGCGAAAAATGAAAAGAATACAATTGTACCCAACATTGTAATACATGTGAGACGATTGAGCGAATCATTCAATGGATATTTTTCTACAGGAAATATTACCAAAACTGAGATGGATACTGGATCCATTTCTATTTGACTTAAATTTGATAGATGATAGTGATCTGAAAAAAGATCAACTTATTGAAATGCGAGCAAGTAGACATGTTCAAATGGAATTCGAGCAATTAGAATTGCAACAATTCTGGTGTTCACAGTTACAACGTTATCCAGAGTTGGCGAACGGAGCACTGCAGTTACTCTTACCCTTTGCTACCACCTACTTGTACGAAATGGGATTTTCATCGCTTTTGCATATAAAAACTAAAGCGAGACATCGCTTTTGCATATAGCTATAAAAACTAAAGCGAGTATGTCTTTCAAAAAAGGAACCTCGCTTCGCCAGCATAATAATGAACAAACAACAACAGACTAGTCATTAATAAAAATAATATTTTTTTGTAGTTATATAAAATGTACAATGTTTTTCAATAAACAATAAGTTTCGCAAAAAAATGTATTTTTCTAGACTAAAAAAATTAAAACACATTTTTCAATGGGGATGCGGAGATATATTTTCAGATTCAATGGGATGCGACTCGCTAGAAAGGTTAAGAAACACTGTTCTTGAGCATAATGTTTTTGGCACTATCGGACTTTCTGCAGTGAATAACTGCGTGTTCTGTACTGTCAATTAAACAACATGAGGCACAAAATGGCGAATTCGCTCTACGATACCTGTACAACAGTTGGTTCGTGTCCAACATTTGCAATCTTATTTTACTGATTACTACTTCCATTTTCCTATCGATGTTTAATCCTTTACTCCACTCACAATGAACATTACAGTAGCTGAATCTGCGGCCGATGTGAAAAGTCCGCCAGCAGTCAACTTGCTCTTCCTTAATAGTATTCTCGATGAAACTACACGCATCCTCTGCTGAAAAATCCCCCGAGTTAATCATATTGTTTCTTTTCGCAACTTTGTCCGCTTTTTCATTGAACCCTATATCCTTATGGCCAGGAACCCAGATGACAGTGAGGTGATGGAAAGCCTTAATCCGCTCGAAGAGCTTAAGGATGAGAGACTTGGATCTCCTATGAACACAGCTCAACGCGTTAACTGGTGACTTGCTATCTGTAAGAATAGCAACCTTTTCGTTAGGATTGTTTCTCAAGAAGCTTACAAAGGGCCCAAGCCTCAGCTGAAAAGATGGAGCTTTTGTTGTCTAGGCACTGGCTGACAATCACCGCGGTTCGATCTACAGCCGCAATACCAACTCCTGTATCAGACTTGGAAGCGCCTGTAGCGTAGATCTTGATTTACTTAATCATTTATAATGCAACGCGAAAATTGCTGTATCTCCACATCTGAGAAATTTTTGTTCTGGAACTCATACTCATTTATTTTGAAACAACTTTACTTCTTCAGAAAAATCTTGCTCATCGTTAAAAGTAATACACTTGCTGAAATCTAGATCGAGATTGCTTAGCTTGTCTTTAACACACTGGCTAATGGGCTTACGTATTTTGCTCCACTTGTACTTGCATCTTTGCAAACAATTTTTCAGACTATCCGCAATGGGAGAGGCTGCTGAAAGAGCAATATTCTTTATTAGGAACTTAATTGCGGTGATGCATTTTCTCGTATCTAAGGTGAAAACCCCTGCTTCAACATATAACAACGGGAGAGGGGTGCTGATAGGCGCCCCAATAGTCAGCTTGATTTTAAAAAATTACAAGGCGTGATTATAAACAATTTCAAGCCTTTTCTTATTTTGTTGAGGTAGACATGAGGAGACAGCTGCCATATTCTATTCTTCCTCTTATTGTAGCATTTGCA